GCCTCTCAAGATGGGCTTGTCCAATGAGGAAGTCCGGAATCTCAAGTGGGAGTTCTGCGTTTTTATGGCCCTTTGTCTCTAAGCATGGTATTTTGCATATGTAATTCGCTGGAGTGTTGAGGCACAAATTAGTACCGATTCTTAGAACATCAATATGTTGCATAGGTATCAGCATGTAATATGCACTCTCAGTTAGATCATCCGAAGATGAATTCATAGAGACCAAACATGATATAGGTGAGGTTATATTAACTAGTGGTCTATGATAACATGCATAAAACAGCATACACTACAACAGACAATATGCAAGAACAGTAATGGTATACACAATGTCCTGAAGGATATGTGTATTCAATCAAAGAAAGGTTTTCCTATGAATTAATTAGAGAACAGTCCATTTCTCTGGGCATTATGTGTCTTTCTTATGAGGAAAATTAGGGAGTTTGTCTGCCTGCATTCCTTTAGGCCATAAAACCAGTGATATCAGCATTGGTTACCATGGAACCAGAGGCCTGTTCTGCCTTTCTGAGGTGTTAGGTGCATTTCGGGGGAAGGGTCCATAGACCCTCGTAATTGGCCATTTGGTTAGGTGACGGGGAGTTCGATATTATTTGTTAAATATAACAAAAAGTTGTGTGTCTGATTGGTCCAAATGCTACACTGATTTAATGCTTCTTAGTAGCAACTTTTAGATGTTTTTAGATTTTCAGTTTGCATTTTAATTACAGTTTAATTTGTGTTATTTTATTAGTTTATATATATGACTGCCTCACAGGCTCAAGAGAGCGGAGTCCTTAATTCTCAGAGTGAGAGGAAAACTCACATGCTCAGGGGCACATGATGGGGGCTCCAGTAATGGGATACACATAGGAGACCCTCAGTTGAGGGGAGCACCACCAACTCAACCATAAGGGCAGTCACATGATGGTGCCTCTGAGGTTGCAGCACTATTCTGGGACCTTGATGACCAAGGATGCTCCTAGAAGAAGCCTAATGACTCTGTGTCAGGGTTCTCCAGTGATGGAATGAACAGGGAGGCCCAATAAGACAGGCCTAGCATCCTGCTATCAAGGGAACCAGAATTCTGTACCAGAGACGTACCCACAAGTAGCCCTCAGGAGCGCGAGGCCGGTAAGGTCAAGCTCCTGTCCCCAGGGAGCAGAATCCTCAACTACACCTACTCATAAGTGAGGAGCATCAGCTCGACCTAGAGACACAAGAGGATCCAGGAGGCTATACAAGCCCACAGCCTGGGCTAAGGAGAACCTAATTGGGTCTAGTGGACCACAGACCCCAAGAGGTCACCAGAGCGAGGGGAGAGAGGTCCCATATAGGGCCCTCATCTCCTGACTTTCGACAGGGGAGATGCACTGGGAGCCCTACTGCCCTGTACCGAAAGCCCAAGATGTAAAATAGAAGCAGCCAAACACATCATTGGCCCAGCATAGGAGACTGTAGTGCAAGCGCATGGAAGCTCCCACCTAACCTCGATTAGGGGGAGGGAGGGGTTAAGTGGTTGGGCGAATTAGGAAGAGGAAAACAAGGGCAGGTGTTGATACCCTCAAAGGGAATTGACTAGAACTTAAAGTTTTACTCTGGTCTGGATTGAAGAGCTCCGAGCACCTCATCTGGATCACCTCCCTCAGGTCTTGCCTCTTACCGGTTGACTCACGCAAGTCACAACACTAGTCTTCTGAACCCATCATTGGTCCTTAGTCCGGGAAGGGCCAGGACCCCCATGTTTTTCAGGCTCAGTCCTGGGTCTCTGAGGAATGAAGGACTTAAAGGCGTTTGAGCGCATCTTAAACTTCTCAAACACTGTCTCAACGGAAGTGCCGAAAAGTTCAGAAGGTGACACCGAGCCCTTCTCTTTCACCCCGATATCAGCCAGGTGCACCCACAGACGCCTCTCCATTACCACCATGCCAGCCATGGACCTGCCAATGGCAGTAGCGGCCTGTTTCATGGCACAGAGGGCAAGATCTGTAGTGCAACGCAGCTTGGCTACCTTGTAAGGGGAAAGACCCTGACCCTGATCCAGGGGCCTCATTTACGAAACGAACGTACCACAGAAAATTGGGCGTACGGTCGTTTCAACGCAAAACTTGGAATTTATCAATATGGATGTGAGTAGTGGCTACGATCAAATCTCACGTCTGGTCTCAGCTCATGTACGCAAGTTTTTGAGTTACCTGAACTTGGTGGAGAATTGTAGAATGACAGCATTTTGTTCATTTTTATTTTCCTGACCGTCAAACGGAGCTAATTAGTCGAACGTTAACCAGTAAAATTAGAATGTCTTTTTTTGTTGTGGTTTTGTACAAGGCTTAGCTTTATATGCGCGAATAGCAGCATAAACAAGACCATGAGGATTCAATTGTCGCATCATGCACCTGCAGCGCTTCTGTGAAAGGAGAAAAACAGAAATTAAGTCTATAAAAGGAATAAAATAAATAGTATCACACAAAATATATAATATGCTATAATATAATTAACAGATTAACAAAAGGAAACACTGTGCAACAAATATAGGCTACGCTCGTTTTTCTCTTAATGCATTTTCTTTATTTTCTTTACATCTTTATTTGATTGAATCCATCTGATCGCACAGGCACCTATCGCACACACAAACAACATTTGTTCTGACATTTCAGCCCTTCATCATCAAACTAAAATGCTGTCAACCAAACATAAAAGTTACACTGTTTATTTTAAAGGGGTCATATGATGCGATTTCAAGTTTTCCTTTCTCTTTGGAGTGTTACAAGCTGATTGTGCATAGATAAGATCCCTGAAGTTGCAAAGACTAAAGTCTCAAAACCAAAGAGATATTCTTTATCAAAGTTAAGACTCTGCCACGCCCCCCTAAAACGGCTCGTTCTAACACGCCCCCACATATCTACCTCACTATGTGGAAATATTTTCATAATGCCGCCCAAATGTTCATGCAAAGAAAGAAGGCGTGGTTTCAGTAACCGCAGTTAGTGTTGAAGCAGCCATGTCAGGGAGACACTGTGTGTTTCTAGGCGAAAGCAAAAGCACTTTATTTGGCCTTCCGAAAGTAGATGCATTTAGGAATCTTTAACATTACTTACAACAGAACAGCAATGCATTTTATGGACGACCGTTTCGTGAACCTAGGAGAGGAGGTAATTCTGACTTCAAATGCTGAGTTTTGCGCATCGTGTGTGTGTGCGCGCGTGAGAGAGAGAGAGAGAGAGAGAGAGTGCGCGAGAGAGAGATAGATAGATAGAGCAAGACACATCACAGTGGAGTCAGCTGTCTTAACCGTGGCTTGTGTACTGCAAACACATATTCATCACTGTGTCTGTCACGAGACTCTGTTCCCCTTTCGAGCTCTGTCTTTACATTTATTTTAAAAGATGAAGCTCGCGATTATGGTAAGGGGCGTTACATTTCCGACGAGCGTTTGCGGTGTTCGGCCAATCACAATGCACTGGGTCAGCTGGCCAATCAGAGCAGACTGCGCTTGATGGAAGGAGGGACTTTGTAGAAAACGAAGCGTTTGTGAGAGGCGGGGCATAGAGGACTTACAATAATGTACAGGATTTGAAAAATAATGTGTTTTTTGAACATTAAAGCATGTCAACATATTCTGTTACACCAAATAAACAAAATAATGATCTTTAAAATAGCATCATATGACCCCTTTAATGTATTTTTAAAGTTCACTATGCATTGTACATTTATATCCAAATCAATGCAACACAGTGCAGTGTTGCATTCTAACACTCCTCGCTTGATGCAGATAGACGATACCATAGATAAATACTTTGTTGCTTTTTTTTTACAGTGCGAACAGTTTGAAATGAAATCCTCATCCGTTTGCTTTTCCTTTCTATTTAGGTGTATTATTACAATGCACGCACAAGGGAGTCATCCTGGACGAAGCCTGAAGGAGTGAAGATGATCCATCAGGCTGAGCTGGGTCCAATGATGCTGAGCCAGGTAGCGGCGGCAGCAGCCAGCGGAGGTTCCACCGGGCCTGGTCCATCTGTCAGCATCCCAGCTCTAGCCAACAGCACTACAACCACACACACCTCCCAGAGCCCCTCCACGGTCATGAGCTCCACTTCCTCTCCCAGCATCACAGCAGCCTCACCTCTCATCCCAACACCTGTGTCAGGTAAATGTCATTCCATTGAGACATCTAAATTACAGCTTTTATGAGATTTCATTTGTTGACCAATAGGGTTGTGACGGTGAGGAAATTTTCCCACTGGTTAATCAATGTGTGACAACACCGGTAATACCGGTATCACCGCGGAGGTGGGGCTTTCCCTTTTTTCCTCGCTTTTCTTCACTTTTAAATAGCTTGTAAAAGCAGTGTGCCCATTTTACTTTAACTTTCAAATAGCGGCAATTCGGAGTAAAGCAATTGTTCGTTTTTAGTTCGTTTGAATTTTCCCTCTTTTCCTCGCTTTTAAATAGCTTAAAAGCGCCATGCGCATTTAACTTTCACTTTTGAATTAACGGCAGTTCAGCGTCAATTGACCATATGCACGATTACTTCCTGGTTTTAGATAAGCCAGCTCAGTCATTTCCAGTTAACTGTACTGTGCCTTAAGGGAGCGCCCTTTAAAAATCATTTAGTTCAGTAAAAGAACAGACACTACAATTAAAAACTGAATGCGGCTGCTCAGTGCAGTTGAACGACAGTTGCAGCACAGATCAGATTTAGTTAGTCGAACTGACTGACAAGAAGAGTGGGGTGAGACAGACAAGACGATCGCGGATGATTTAGTTTCGAAACTAGATGCAAAAGCGCCTGTTTGGCAATATTTTGGATTTTGAAAAGCCTGTTGACTTTTGCCGTTTATCTAAGGTGATTTTGGAAGTTTTTTTTTAAACATTCGTTTCTTATTTAATTGGTTCCACATTGTTTGCTGATTTTTACTTTATTTAAACTTTGTGTCATTTATTTATTTTATTTGACATCAAGGTGTATGCCGTGCCTCCAAGCTTTCTTACTCGTTTTGCTAATAAACATTCTACGTTTCTTATTTATTTGGTTATATATTATACATGTTTACTTGCTTCCAGTTTTATATATTTAAACTTTATGTAAGTTATTTGTTATTTTATATTAGGCATGACCTGCCCTGTAGCATGGTGTATTTTTATTTGTTTTGTTAATAAAAGTTTTATGTTTATATATATATGTACGCTAAAGTGTGTTTGACGTTGTATTTTGTTGTTGCATTCAAGCAATTGGCACCTAACTGCCGCTAATTCGCACGGCACTTTTAAGCTATTTAAAAGCGAGGAAAAGAGGGAAAACTCAAACGATCTAAAAACGAACAATTGCTTTACTCCGAATTGCCGTTATTTGAAAGTGAATGTAAAATGTGCACGCCGCTTTTACAAGCTATTTAAAAGCGAGGAAAAGAGGGACCACCCCGCCCCCGCGGTGATACCTGTATTACCGGTGTTGTCACATGTCGATTAACCGGTGGGAAAATTTCCTCACCGTCACAACCCTGTTCTACATTTATATGTTTGTTTGTTTTAATTTTTCTGGGTTTTAGAAATTGTTTTGGATCAGGATTTGGGATACATTTTTTGTTTATTTTGTCTGGGAGTCAGATGTTGTTTTGAGTCAGAAACGCATTCTGGGAAATTTTTTTGTCCCCCGTTTGTTTGTTT